TTTTAAGGGACTAGCGCAACACGGCATAACGAAGTGGTGTACCACTATGTCAACACAGGGTACCACATAATTCTACAAACAGGACTAAATGGCAAATGCATAAACATAAACTTTGGACATACCTTNAAAAAAAAGGTAAGAAAGTTTGGTCACATGCTGGCTGACACCACCCCCATCACCTTTGTCACGTGATTAGTTGGACCCCATGAAGCCATAAATTACATTGGAAAAATTATTTTTAGAAAATGAGGTTCCTTAAGAAAAAGATCTAAACCCTCTTTCTCTCTCTCTCTCTCTCTCTTTTTTCTGCTTTTACATTTTATTATATTGTCATTATAAGTGCTAATAAGGAATCAATGCATAATAAAGTAGACAAAGCTAAAAGGACGTAAGTACAACGGCAACATATATAGAGGGAAATTAAGAATGAAGGGTTTGGACATGAGAGTTTGTAAGTTACAAATAGGTGTAAATTTGAAACAAAGATTAAAGCATCTAATGGAATATTTTTTTGCATATCATGAAGAAAAGAAATTAAAAAATTGTGTCTTTGATAGTTAATGTTAATTTTAATATAATTTGAAATATGTAAAATTGTAATTGGTTGGAGAAGAGAGATAAATTGAATAAATAATATAATGTAAAAAATAAATTTTGTTTAGAATGAGTTTTACATCTAGAAAGACTTCTAGATATTTTCTATGACATAAAAGTTGTTTAGAATGACTTTTACATCTAGAAAGACTTCCAGACATTTTCTATGACATATAGAATTATATAGGGAAAATTACACTTTGCCTACCAAACAATCCGCGTTTTTACACTTTGTCCACTCAACTTTTTCCGTGACACTTTACCCCTTTAACTTCACATATTCTTGCACTTAACGACTTCCGCCCACCGGAGATGCAAAATCAAGGGCAAAGTGTAAAAACGCAAATAGTTTGGTAGGCAAAGTGTACTCGTGAAGACTACTTTGAGGTGTCTCCTAAGGTGTAAATGACGATTTTGTCCTTGATTTTGCATCTCCGGTGCCGGAAGTCGTTAAGTGCAAGAATATGTGAAATTCAAGGGTAAAGTGTCACTGGAAAAAGTTGAGTGGGCAAAGTGTAAAAACGCAGATTGTTCGATAAGCAAAGTGTAATTTTCCCAATTATATAATATAGAACAATTCAAATACCATTGGAGATGCTCTTAAATTATCCCTTTGTCGAAGGGTGTTATTGTCGGGATTTCCACAGTTCAAAAAAATATGAATTTTATGATACAAGAAAACTTGAGATTGATAAGATAATACAAATTGGTTGTTATAACGTTTACGGTTGTTGTTAGACAAATTTAACCCAATCATATTGTTTTTCAATGAATATACATACTTTCAAACTAAAATACCACTCTATAAAATATAATAAACAAAAATTATAACATTTGACATTATAAGTATGCAGTTGGACCTACTTCATGCAAGATTTTGTATTGTTATAAGTTCTAATTATGGAGATATTGAAAATAAGAGAAATACTACACGTACATAATAAATGTACATAGAAGTGTACATAACACTCACATAGAGTAGGGTCCACTTAGTTTTCTATTTTTGGTAGGTTTCACTCAATGTGAGTGTTATGTACACCACTATGTATAATATTATGTATATATAGCATTTCTCTGAAAATAATTACTCACTCGATCTTACAACACTTGTTTTATGTTTATACGACCCTTGTTAATTGTGAATGCAATATCAATTGTGGGATATGTAGATGTTTATGGGGAATATAAATATATAAGGTTAAAACAATAAAAGATGTATAATTTTAAGGTCACCTTGTACTAGAATTACTGTTACAAAAAAATGATCATATTTCAGCAAAATTCAATGGGTAAACATATCGCGGCGTAAAATTTCAACACAAAAAATATTCAATTGGAACTACATGAAATCACATCTTTAAAATGATGTGTTCGAAGCTTCCAACAGAGAGCGTGTCAAAACTATTCCAATTGCACTAATCTTCCATTGGAAAATTACAATTGAAATATTGTGATTGAAATTCATTTCCAACAAAATACTTTTATATTGCTTACAATATAATTTCTAAATTTGGAATATTTATGAATCACTAACTTTTTTATTGGAAATTGTGTTAAAATACATCTATCTTGTATTGAAAATGGAGGGAGAACATTTTAAGTGGATACTATTTCATTCTACAATTCTTAATGCTACTAAAAATTAGATTTTGTTATGAAACTAACAGTTGACTCTACAGTTTGCTAGAAGGTTGGCTTCATAGCAAAACCGACTAGAAATATGTATTTTGGATCAGTATGAAATTATGCCGATAATAGATATATAATAAGGCATAGCCTATATCATCAATTTTTGTTTAACTAAATTTTCAAATTCCACGCTTGACATTGAATCATTGTCATTTCGATTATTAATTTTCAATAAAAAAGTCATTTAGCAAAAATTACGCCACTTCTAACGTGCAATGGACACATACTAAGAGATAATTCAAGATAGAAAAGTCTTATCTTTTCTATCTCTTTACTAACCACATTTTAACGAACTCAAAAATAAATTGCCCAAAAACAAGAACCCTTGGATTGACACGTGGAACCATCGTGACCGTGGCAAGTTATGTCCGACCTGTAACCATCGTGCCTAAACGTGGGTTAAGGAATATAATAGCATGTGTAATATAGAGTAAAGACTAAAGAGGGCACAAGTAGCGGCTTAAAAAATTGAGGGGGCGAAAACAAAATAATACTAATAGAGGGGCAGAAACACAATTCCCGAGGGGGGTGAAATGATTAAAGAGGGAGTCCGGCTGTATTTAATGTATTAAATGCAAATATTTTGATTAAGTTTGAAAATTAATTATCTATACTTAATCCCAATTATTCAAAATTTTTGTCCTTGCTTTTATTATTGACAAAATTCCTAAATTTGCCCAACTGAGTTGTAACCGAACTAAATGAGCTCGTAATGTTTGAACATTATTCTTGTTCCTTCATTAATTTTTTGTGTAAACATTTACATTCATACTTGTTTGATTAATTTGTTCGTCGAAATTTGAGTTGTTCGTGTTCTACTAATAAAGTGTTCTACCAATTTATTAAACAAGTTTGTTCAAAATTGACTGATTAACACGATATCAATTTTTTCGAAATCGCTCAAGTTCAAATATTCTTTTATTAAAATATTCCTACTTTAGTACTTTATACTATGTATAGTATATTTATAATAAACTTTTAGTAACAAATTAACCTAATTTTATTGTTTAAACTCGATTTGATTAACAAATTTATATTTCATTTATTAAAATAAACAAGCTAGAACGAGTTTTTATTCCCCAAACTTGGTTCACATTTTACAACCCTACTTCGGTACATGCACATGGCAATCGTAAGATGCAATGTTGTAAAATGTATGTGACCTTATCAATAAGGCATTTAATAACCATACATAATGCTTATTTTTATTTTATAAAATTTTTAAACTTAATTATCGTAAGCTGCTGAAAATGAGAATCCCAATGCAGCAATGCTAACTAAACAAATACAGAAAGAAAATTAAAGAAAAGATGGTGCTGTTATCATGCAGAGGAAAGTCAGTGGAGGTTAGTGGATTTATTTTTATTTTTTCCTCATTTTGTTCTTCTTTTATTTCTATTCTTTTGTGCAAGTTTGTGGTGTTTTCATGTGAGGCAATGTGCTTTTCATATGTACAAACAATAAAATATAAAACGACATAAAAAGTAAAATAGTATATAATTTTTTAACTATGATTAACAATTTGAGGTTTAAAATACTAGAGGTAAAAACATTTCCACATTGAATACGTGAATTGAAAATCTAAATTTAATATCATTTATCTTTATAAGGTAACACAATATAATAACCCAAACATCATTCATGCACCTAAGAAAATTTGATAAACAATAAACCAAAACTTGTTGAGTTTATTGGATTCAAATAATCTTTATAATTATTTTAAAAAATCTCATGAGTTTCCGAATGCAGCATGTAAAAAAAGATCCATTTAATTTTTATTTCTAAGGACGTATAACCTAATTTTGTCAAATACATTGATTATATTTCAATTATAACGTCTAAGGGTATGATTAGAAAATATAGTTGAAAAATTAGTTGATAATTAATAAATTATATGACAGTTTATTATTAAATTTTAAGCTTATACTTGATAACTTATGAGTTATGATGATAGCTTCAAGCTTATAGTTGGTAGTTTATTAGCTTATTGTGAAATATTAGGTCACATAATAAAAGTGTGGTAAAATTAAATGATAAGTTAGATGAATTAAAAGTCCAATATTTTTTTTAAGCACAATTCAAGTTCTAACTTTTTTTTTTTTAAAAAAAAAAGGTGAGTTATATTAAATCAAATTTATTTGAATACCAAAAGAAAATTATAAGATAATCAAGCAAGTTATAAGTTATGTTATTGTTTTTATCAAACATACTCTAAATTCATTTTAAAACTATCAATTATGATTTTCAACTAGATTTGACAAACACGCCGTAACTATATTTTACTGAAAAATAAATTATAAAATTAAAGTAGCAATTATTTTTACCATAATGAAAATTGAAAAAAGGAACAAAAACAACTAACTTATCAGCTGTCAACTAAGATTTTTAATTAGATTTGAAAAACAGACCGTAACTAAATTTTACTAAAAAATATATTGTACAATTAAATTAGCAATTTTTTAATTTTTTTTACCATAAAGGAAAACTGAAAAAGGGAAGAGAAGCAACTAACTTTACAGAAGTAGCAAGTGAAGTGATACATACTACATTCATCAATTATTACTTTTATCTTTTCTATTTTAGGAAAAAAAATTATTTATTTATGAACATCGAAACAAATGCCTAATTAAAAATGATACCACTCGATTTCTCTAAATTTCCAATTTAGCCCATCCAATCCACTCATAAAAGGCCCACCATTTTCCACATTCGCTCTCAACACAAAACGCCCCGTTTTGAAGCACGCAAAAATTCTCTCACTTTCTCTCCCTCCACCGCAGTTTCCTTCACCAAATTCTGAAAGTTAAATTCGTGCTATGGAGTATTTTTCCAGTGATTACACTGATTTCCCGTCGGCCGACAATGTGAATTTCAACAATAACAACAATTTCAACGGTGCGCATTTCACGGTGGACGATTTGCTCGATTTTTCTAAGGCGGACGAGACGATGACCGACGCGTTTTTCGACAGCCTGGCCGGGAATTCCGCTGACTCGTCCACCGTCACGGCGGTCGAGAGCTGCAATTCGTCGATTTCCGGAGGCGGAGATGGGCAGTTCAACGGCAACGTCAGCTGCCGCAGTTTCAACGAGACACAATTCTCCGGCAACGAGCTGTTTGTTCCGGTAATTTTTCAATTTTTACTCTATTATGTTAAAAAAAATGATAGGTTTATTTAGTTTTTATTTTAATTGAGCTATTTTCATTTTTTTTCCTTGTCGGTTTTTTCGCCCATTTTAGCTGACCGACAATCGCGCAATTAATTTGTAGATAGTCAAATTTCGAAACTTATTAAGCGCCATTTTTTGCGTTGCAAATTTGAGCATTTTTTAATTTATACAAATTTTGATTTTATTTTTTATTTTTTTGTTACAGTATGATGATTTAGCTGAGCTGGAATGGCTCTCGAATTTCGTGGAGGAATCTTTCTCTACCGCTGCTGCCGTCGCCGCCGACACTTCCTCCGCCGTCACCACAAACTCGCCGCCGCAGTTCTTCCCTGCCGACGTCTCCGTCCCCGGCAAAGCCCGCAGCAAGCGCTCACGCACCGCCCCCTGTGACTGGTCCTCCCGCCTCCTCGTCCTCTCCTCCAAGACGGCGCCGCCGAAGAAGAGGGAGCCCAAGGAGACGCCCGGCCGGAGATGCCTCCACTGCGCGTCGGAGAAGACCCCACAGTGGAGAACGGGCCCCATGGGCCCGAAAACCCTCTGCAACGCCTGCGGCGTCCGGTACAAATCGGGCCGGCTCGTGCCCGAGTACCGGCCCGCAGCCAGCCCCACTTTTGTTTCCGCCAAACATTCGAATTCGCACAGGAAGGTGTTGGAGCTCCGGAGGCAGAAGGAGATCCAAGTCCAGAGAGCGCATCACCAGCCGTTGATCGGCGGCCATCAGATGTTCAACGGCTGTGATGAGTTCCTCATTCATCACCACGGTAGCATCAACGGTCCGGAATTTAAGCACATGATCTAGTGTGTGCGCGTGCGTCTGTGGTGTATGTGCACTAGCGTATGGTAGTTGGTACCCAAACCACATGCCTGCTAATTTTTCTTTTTCTTTTTTTTTTTTTTTTTTTTTTAGTCCCATGTCGTAAGTCGTAACCCCCAATTTTTCTAATTTCGGTTTAGAATATTTGAATTTTTGAAATAGAAGTGGAACGAGCTAGAGTATTGTCAATTCAATTGTAGACTTTGTTTGTAATGCACATTTTGATTTTAAATTTTGAAATCAACTAAATATCTATAGCGCTTTCCTCGTTAATGAACTTTGCTAGTAAATTTCTTATGAGATTTTGATGAATTTATGCAACATAATTGTTGTTCATATATAACACAATTAATACAAAAAAAAAAAAATATTATTTGACTTTATTCCATATATGTTAAATGCTTATTCCGCGAGAAAATCAACTCTACTATCCAACATGAAAATCTTAAAAGTAAGGTATTAGGAAGATCTAATTAAATAATCATCTTTTTTCAATAAATATGCGTATTTTAAAATTGAAATGACATACTATAAGTATGCATTTTTATTGAAAAGTATGATGAGTAAACTCGTCAAACTGTTTGTCTCACACAAAAATTTGTGATATTTTTAAAGTTTAATAGTTTTTACGAATTAATAAATCATCCCTTAAACCAATGTTTAGCTAGTGATTGTTGATTTGAATATTGCGTAATAGTTACTCAAATTCCTATGGAAAAAAGAAGTTAGAAAGTAATGGAGGGAATTTAATTTGATTTGCTTGTTGATAAAGTAAAGATGATGATATCTATGATGGATATCTTAGGAAGTGCAAAAAGAAAAAAACAAAAGTGTGTGTGAAGAAATATCTGCTGGAAAAGGGGTTAAATTGCAAATTTGCAATCATAGTAATGGGTGCAAAGCTTTTATCAAGAAGCCAATGGGGCCATAGGTGATTTAATTGTGTCTATCTAAATTTCTTCAAAGTTTGGGAATTAGCACATGGAGGGGCTCATGCTTGATCTGAAACCTAATATATACAATGGTCCATATATTCAAAATTTCATAGACTGAATTCAAGTCCTTTGTTTTTGCGCACTATATTTGTGGTCATAAGAGATGGTTCAATGAGAACAATATATTGTGGTGTGAACTAAAGACTACTATACTATGATACACTATGTTATTTTGCAAATAGCTCTACCTAGAATTTTTAGTTGTTGTGATCAGCATTGTACGTATAAATAATGGATAATTTCTACTCACGAATTTGCAGTTTGTTTGACATGATATATATAGATTGAAATGTTATCAGATAATTAAATACTCCCTCCATTTTGAAATATAAGGCGTATAAAGATTTCTCATTTTTTTTGAAATATAAGGCGCGCTCAAAAATCAAGACAAATTTTTGTATTTTTTTCTAAATATACCCTCATTGTGTTGAAATTAAGGAAGTGTGGAGTGGTTGTGATTAGAGTAAATAAGGTTAATTTAGTCAATTTATTCATTAATTAATGTCTCCTTAATATTTGTGCAATAACCTTAAATGCCTTATATTTCAAAATGGAGGGAGTATCATAATTGTTCGCGTAGATATAAATAATGAAAATAGGTACACTTTTTAATCCTTATTATGTCATAAATACCGTCAATTATTTTTCACATTCAATGCCATATATTTCTGATAGCATTGTATTTCATCTTCTACTACTGTGCCAGAATATATGATAAAATAAATTAGTCGTGTTATACTGGTTCCATCAATTGGTGGAGATAAAAATTAAAATTAATTTAATATTTTATTAAAAATAATTTAATATTTTATATGATACAACCAACTAGTTCTTTTCACGTTGACTTGGGCATATTTTTTTTATCCTATCCTTTCGTGGTGACTTATTAGTTCGCAACTTCCATGTTATACATTAATTTTTTTTTAAGAGAAAAGTAAAATAAAAAAGTTGGATTTACATGTAGAGAGTATTGTATAGGGCCTCGTTTGTTATAGATGATGGGATTGGACAAATTAATTACTCCAATTTGCCACATCAGATTTTGGATATAAATTGTCACATATTTACTAAAATGGATAAAAGTCTATGATAAACTTAATTGATATTGACTTCTAAACTCGAGTTCGAGTCTTTATTAATTCGAATTATGTTGTTAACTAAATGAGCTCGAATTAATTTTTTTGTCAATATTAACGAGTTTAACTCAATATTTAATTAATCGAATTATACAAAATTATATAAAATTATTTATTTTCCAAGTCTTAAACAAGATATTAAT